GGGGGGAGTGGCCAATTGGGGGGCTGGAACTCAAGGCCTGGCAGCACTGTTCCTGAGCTTTTTTGTTCAAGGTTAGCACTCTATCACTTGAACCACACCTTCATTTCTGTATTTTTTGGTGGTCAATTGGAGATGAAAGTCTAATGGGACTTTCCTGCCCAGGCTGGCTTTGAACCGCGATCCTCAGACCTCAGCCTCCTGAGTAGCTAGGATTATAGGAGTGGGCCACCAGCACCCAGTGAGAGTATTTATTTATTTAATTTTTTTGGTGGGCCGTAGGGCTTGAACTCAGGGCCTGGATGCTTTCCCTGAGCTTTTCCACTGGAGGCTAGTGCTCTACCACTTTGAGCCACAGTTCCACTTCTGGTTTTCTGGTGGTTAGTTGGAGATAAAAGAGTCTCAGACTTTCCAGCTAGGCCTGGCTTTGAACCTCAATGCTCAGATCTCCAACTCATGAGTAGCTTGGATTACAGGTGTGAGCCACCAGTCTTCATCTTAGAGTCATTTTTCTTAAATTGTATGCTACCTAGCACAGTTTCCTTGAATATAGTGGCAAATTAATTTTACATAAACGGTTGGTATTCTTGCCTTTATTGAATTCACTGATTAAAATATAACCCCTACAGCCATGGGTAGAACACTAGTCTAAGTATGGTTGAGGTCCTCAATTTAATCACCAGCAATGTAGGAACTTAAATAAATGAAGCCCTCTAGAAATAACCTTGGAGCAGTACTATGATTAAACATGTAAATGAGAGAAACAGACAAAGACCCATTAAGGTATATCCTCACTTTTTTTTACTGCTGGCCTCATGGTTGTCCTTGTTTTCTTCATTGCTGTCTCCATTGTGTTGCAGCTGATTACTATCTTGGACATCAGATCCTCCATTGAGAGTCTTTGAACCTTTAGAAGAATTCCAATGGAAAGACATTACTTTTCTAATGTTTTCTACAAAGTGTTATAGCATAGCACTTGTTTCTAATATTAAACATTTCATACCTTTGTTTTACATGTGAAACTGCCTAAGCAAGTCCTTTTTTTCCCCAGTTAATTTTTTTGTTATTAATAAGAATTATACAAACAGGTTACAATTCTAGTAAGTCAGACAATGTTGCCCCTTCCTTTCCTTTTCCCCATTGCTCCCCCTCCCGTCCCTGCCTGTAAGTTGCCCTGGACTGCATTTGTGCAACCCTTTGTCCCTTTAGTCTTGTGCCTCTCCTGATACCATTTCAGTACAGGTATACTGTATTGTCGCCAGGTGCTGGTAGCTCATGCCTGTAATCGTAGCTACTCAGAAGGCTGAGATCCAAGAATCATGATGGAAGCCAGCCCAGGCAGAAAAGTCAGTAAGACTCTTATCTCTAGTTAATCACAGAAAAAGCCAGAAGTGATGCAGTAGTTCAAGGGGTAGAGTGCTACCCTTGTGCAAAAGAAGCCCAGGGACAGCTCCTGGAACAGCAAGATAAATAAGCAAATAATACTGTTTTATGGACTGTCATCAGCAAAGGCCTTTAAATAGCTAAGGTTCAGTAAAAAGATTATTACTGTTCTTTATGGAGAAAAGAACTGATTACTCATTTAACAGTTGTTACTAGCAGATAGACTACAAAATGTTACAACTGTTTACTATGTGACTTCCAAGTTTTTTACATAAATACAGATTTTTTAATTATTAGTATTTTTATTAGTATTTTTAATTATTAGTATTTTAGTACAAAATGTTAGCATTAGTGTTTCCTGATAGGATTTTTTGTCTAGTAAGTGAATCACAGGAGCTTTCTTGCCCATCGTATTTTTAAGGAGACCTGATTCCCTAATGGAAGTTTAAAAGAAAAAGTTTGAAATTTGATTTTTAGAGTACATTATAATCATGTACCGATTAAGTATACATATCCAAAATGCTTACCCAGAAGTGTTTAGGATTGCAGACTATTTTGGATTATGGACTATGGGATTTGGAGGGTTACATTTTAAACTTTTTTTTTTTGGTGCTGGTGCTACGGCCTGGGTGCTGTCCCTAAATTTTTGTGCTCAGGGCTAGTGATGGTTAAATCAGGCTCACAGAGCCCAGCACTGGTGGCTGTAATCCTAACTGCTCAGGAGGCTGAGATTTGAGGATCAAGGTTCAAAGCCAGCCCAGGCAAGAAAGTCCATGAGATTCTTACCTCCAATTAATCACCAGAAAACCAGAAGTGGAGCCATGGCTCAAAGTTGTAGAGCACTAGTCCTGAGCAAAAGAGCTCAAGGCTAGCACCCAGGCCATGAGTTCAAGCCCCATGACTAACTCCCCACCATGAGTTAGCAAAGTCTCATGGACTTTCCTACCCTGGCTGGATTTGAATCAAGATCCTTAGATCTCAGCCTCCTAAGTAGCTAGCATTACAGGCATGAGTGACTGGTGCCCAGCTACATTAAGTTTTTGACAGTATTTTCTTATATTTATCTACACAGAAGCAGTTAACTGTAAAAAAAAAAAAATAAAAAAAAGAAGAAAGAAAATTACGTATCATTGGCACAGTGATAAACAACAACAACAGTAATATCAACAGCTTATCTCCACTTTGATGCTACATTTTGGTTACTCTACTTTTTTTGGTTAGAAGGATCAGAGCAGTTGAGGGAGCAAATGTGGTTCTCCAGCATTCTGATACAAGACACAAGAGTATTTTGTCTAACAGAAGTTTTGTTAGGGTTTCTTGTACACCTGACAAGATTTCTTGTGTCATAATGAATGTTGACCAATAATAATGAATTGTTTACCAATAAGCTTTATCACATTTTTACAAGCACTTTCTCTGCAGTATTACCATCTTGAGTCACTATTACCTTCATTCAGAACTATTTGGCTATTTCAAAGTCAATGAATGCGTAACAGAGCCTCGTTATATGAATATTATGTTTCTTCAAAATCTACTTCTTCCAGCTTACTGGCACATGCTGAAGGTATTGTTTGAATGTTATCAAAACCATTTTTTTGGGGGGGGGGTCCAGTTGTGGGCTTGGGCGCTGTCCCTCAGCTCTTCAGCTCAAGACTAGCACTCTACCACTTGAGCGCCACTTCTGGCTTTTTTCTTTTTGCTTATGTGGTGCTGAGGAATCGA